CATATGGAGAAGGTAGCCGTGTAGCACTATAGAAAGTTTGAAGCATTCGCCTCCATGCTTGCAGTTTTCTGGGCTAGTCATGTCCCAATATTTGGTTAGCTGCAAGCATACGCTGCTTGGCACTGTAACCTCAGCGCAGAATTTGCACGTTGAAAACATTTTAGTTTAATAGTTAATAGCGTGCACAGCGACAACGACGTGTCTTCTCAATAATGACCTCGCTGTGCCAAGCTGGTCGCCTCCTGGTTTCAATCCGCTGCTCATAGAATGTTGCTGTGAATGCTGCAGGGGTGCCTACTTACCAGGAGATCAGCTGGCGGACTTCGGGCTAACACCGTGCCATCCGCGCCTTTTACCATTCCAACTGCTCTTCCATCTATTTTTAAAGACGATAGTTTTTCTTGGGGACCTTCGACTAAAAAATTTTGGTCTGTCTGTACATTTGTCTGTTTCTCCGCTCTTAACAATACCTCAAACGGCACTAAATGGACGACCCCAATCACAGTACCCACCAATATTGTTCAAGCTCCATCGTTCATAGTTGTGCGATCGTCAATTAAAAAGCAACTATTGAGCATATCTGAGGTGCCATAACAGTACGTCGATGTTTTGTATGTGTGCCTTTATACTAAAAGTGGCACACACGAGTAACTCTAAGGACTGTAGCGTTGATCCCACTGCGCTGACAGTGCAACGCTTGCACGAAAAGGGAAGAGTTTCCAACGTTTTGCTTAGACGACACTGGTGGCACCTACCCGTCACCTTGCGTTCTACACCTTATCACCTCTGAGACGGGCGCCCGCCCCGTCTCAGAGCCACGCGTTCGGTTTTCCAAGATAACTGCTAGACAGCGCTCATGTCTTACGTGTGACGTGACTTGGTACGCTCATTTGCCTCCGCTGCACGCTTGGGGCAGTCTAACGCAGCGCCTCCAGAATACCATTCACCGATTGTCTTGCGCAGAACATCAAATAAACGTTTTGTTCAATCTCCCCAGGCTCCCACAAGTTTAGTCATGACAGGGTGAAATCGACGAAGTCACTGTTAACATCTTTAACAGACTTGCAGAAGCGGTTATCGAATAGATACCGCGCAAGACAGCCTGACTTATTGTATGTTATGTGCTCGGTATATCTCATTTTCTTTACGCCCACTTTTAAATTTCCCCATTTTGTTGCCCAGTAAAGAGTAGCATACCGGTTATCTTACATTTCTTTACAAAGCTGCTTAACATCTCTCCCATGTTCCCTTCTACTGTAAGAAAGTACACTGAGTGACAAGACGGTAAACGCTATTAACTAGACTTGTGAAAAAACGTTAAAATAAAGAAGCTTTTTGCAAGTATCATTAAAGCCCCGCCGCGGTGGTCTAGTGGCTAAGGTACTCGGCTGCTGACCCGCAGGTCGCGGGCTCGATTCCCGGCTGCGGCGGCTGCATTTCCGATGGAGGCGGGAATGTTGTAGGCCCGTGTACTCAGATTTGGGTGCACGTTAAAGAGCCCCAGGTGGTCAAAATTTCTGGAGCCCTCCACTACGGCGTCTCTCATAATCAAATGGTGGTTTTGGGACGTTAAACCCCACAAATCAATCAATCAAGTATCATTAAAACATGTAATTCCCATATCAAGTTGTTTTCATCGTCTTCTTACTGGTACACAATGAGTGACAAGATGGTAAACGTTATTAAATAGACTTGTTAAAGGACGTTACATTAAAACAAGCTTCTGGCATTATGCTCGCGCATATATAAGTATCATTACAACTGGTAATTCCCCTATCAAGTTATTTCAGGAGAGAATATTGTACCACGTGCTTAAACATAATGCAAGAAAGGCACCATATCAAAGGTGTGTTAAAAAAATGAAATCGCAGCAGCTGGCAGAAACAGTGATGATTCACCAATTCTATCTTGTATGAAAATTCGTCACAAAACCCCAAGCACTGCTCAATGAATATGCCGAGTGTTCAATATACGTGTTTTATTTAGTGTATACGTCATTAAAGTTCCGTTCCTGCAATAATAATCATTTATGTAGAAGTATTAAAATGCTTGGCACTTGGCTTGTAGTAAAGGCTTACTAGATGCCGCAAGCTGCTTTTCCATTGCTTTCGTCGATTACTCTTCAAACTAGTAAACGTCTTAGTTTCGTCCATGTTTGTTTTCTCGCCTAGACTTCCTTACATTATTTGAAAGGACTTGAAAGTTTTAGAAGGGTTTTTATATTCGCCATGACGCGCACTTATCTGGTTTATCTTATTCTCCTAACTTTTCTTCAATGACACACTCACAAAATATATAGTTTCAACAAAATACCAGACAGTCCGGACAAAAGACGACACAAATTGTAAATTTGAACGTGTTCTTATCTTTTTCACACAGCATGAAATCACTTGATGGTGCTACTTTTTTTTGTTCAAGTCATGTTTGGTGGTATGACCAGATATTACAGAACTGTTTGCGCTTTCAAATCGAGTGCTTCGCGTTGAAGTAGAGGCTTACGTGGAAAGCCGTTCTTTAGTGTCAAGATAGAGGATGCAGGTCCTGCCTTTGTGAAGTGGCGCCTCTTCAACAAAACTCGAAACAAGTGTGCCAAGATACAAGCTTTCATAACGATGGCGACTACTTTGCATAATCTGTGCGATTTGCATTTTGTGGATTATAGCAGCTGAAAACGCGGTACAAAAAAGTGGGAAAAGCTAGTTAACTGGATTTTAACGCTGGCGCTGTCGTGTTCAATCATGCAACCAAACCTCCCTTGTGCTTAACTCGTTATGCTCGTATTCTTGCCATTTCTGCTTCCCCAAGAATCAAAGGAAGCAACTCTGATGATTTAACGCTTGAAAAGCGTCGCGATTCTTGTGTCGGGTGAATTCCGCTGGAATATCCTCCCGTCCTCTTTTTTATTGCTACAGTCCACAAAATTCATGCTGCATTTTTCGCCTGAAAGCTAAGCTATGCCTTTGCGTTAGTTCTGATGTGTAAGCATTGTTTTGGTAGGACTCGAGGAAATCTATGTCCTAGACGTAATTGGATATAATTTCAAAAGTATTTGACCATTGTTAATACTTTTGACCATGGCCAAATACTTTTGACAATGAGAAGCGAGCACTGAAAATGTATAAATCTGGCCACCTTAGGGCAGTTCCTACAATGTTGACATATCTCAAGTAGTTCATATCTAAGGTATATATCTAAAGTTGGTCATATGAGATAGACAAACATCTTCCTTTTTGAATGAATAGGGTTGCATTGGAAACGTACAGTTTTATCTGCTTTTGATGGTAGGTTTCTTTATGACACCAGAAAGTCCTAATATTAGGAATGTTAATAATTGACGCCTGCTTCAGAAAAATGGATGCAGGTCAAATCTTTAAAAGGCTTTGTCTTTAAAAGGCTGTTGGGTATTCATGACTTATACACCACAGTTGTATACGTCAAATACACGCCCCGCCATCACCCGGCGTTGCACACGTGCAGTCACGCCATACACATAGTCGTCCACGTGGCTTAATCAGGTGCCAAAACCGTGTTTTTACTAGCGGAATTCATGCTTTGGTTAGGATGCACGTCGTAGTAGGGGGCTTAGGTTTAGGTTTCACCACCTGAATTGCTGTAACGTGCACCTATAAACATAAGTGCAGAAGCGTTTTCTGTTTTGCCTCCTTCAGAATGCAGCTGGCGCGGGTTGGAGTTCAACCCACCTCCTCAAGCTTATGCCATAGCAAGTATAACAAGCGAATAAATGGTCGTTATGGGCCACTCGGTCTAAAGAATTTTAAATTTGTTCCGTCATGTCTCCGCATGAAATAATACTAAATGCGAAACAAAGGAAACGATCACCGTCACGATCACGAGAAGATGTAGCAAAATGCAACTGAATATTATTACGACGAAGAAGCACTACGATCACCAATTTCTTCGTTATGTCAAATACTCGTTGTAAACCTAGATATAAAAATTGGAGCAAATCAGCACTCTCGCTCGCCCAATAATCCTGGACACAAGAACGCATTATTCTAGGTTTTAAACTCACTGTAAACAAGATAATCCTTTCTTCTTCTATAGTGGCAACTGAAACAAAATAGAGCGGCATATGTCAAGGTGAACTCGCAATACAACAAAGATCACTTGACAAAACAGGCCTGCAGTCAAGCTTACTTTAAAGGGGGATCGGATCTTCGTTTGATGGTTTTTCACAGCAAACAAAAAACATAACAGAAAGAAAGAAAAAAGATGATTGTGACTTGAATTTCAATATTAATTTTGCTTTTTATGCAACCCCTCAAGTTTTTAGCCTCACGCAGACCGAATATTTCAACGTTATAGTCACTATTATGGCAGCTGCCGTGTTTTTGTTTCCGTAATAAAGAGATTAGGTTTCACCCTAATAGAGTGGGGCCAACTAAAGTACGTAGTTTTCAATTCGCTGCAACCAATATTTCACTATAACCGTCTTTGTCATACCAATGTGCAGTGGCGTAGCCAGGGGAAGCACAGTGCCCCCCACTCCCGATTTTTTTTCCCGCCATAGTATAAGACAAAAGCTGAGCACTTCGAAGGGCTTCTTCCCCGAAATCAAGAAGGTGCCCCTCCTCCCCCACTCGGAATTCTGCGCAACATGGAAGTGGTCTAATGGTACTAGCTTGCAAAATGTGCATCTTTCCACATCTGGAGTAATATGTCCCAACGCTATCATATGATTATGAGAGACACAATAGGGGAGGATTGCGAAAATTTTGGCTGTCCGGTGTTCTTTAACGTGTGCTGACATGGCACAGAACATAGGTTTTTACCATTTTGCCTCCATCAAATTGAAACCGCTGTGGCAGAGATTGAACCCGCAACCTTTTGGTCGGCAGCAGAGCACCGTAGCCACTGTTTCACTCAGGTGGACACTGAGAAATTCTTGAAACACACGTGAAATAAGAGCGGATTTTCTCTTTTAAGGTCTCTTATTGCTTTTGGTGCAGTCAAAGAAGAAACCGGAATGTTCAGCTTACCGGGAAGAGCTTGAAGATCGCAAATTGCCTCACGATTAAGCCCTTTCCACGCTGCCAGCCAGGAACAGGAATGGTCACGTTTTGAAAATATTGCGAGAAGATTGTCATGAGTATAATGCTCCTGTAGGAAAAGAAAAATAACCATGCTTAAGAGATATACAAAGAATAAATATTGCTATTCAGTGTTTGTTTGCGTATACCAGAGAATGCTCTTATCATTATGCCCGACATTGCTTGCAGCTTTGAGTGAAAAGCTGTTGTTGCACAGTTAGAGACATGACACTTTTTCTTTTTATAAATTTTATTATTCTTGGAGAGTTATAATTTCAGCAATATTAAGTTTAGGAGATTGCGTTGTTAACCTGCACATTTCGCTAGGAAGATTCATTGACTGCACGTTAGTTACCTTGGCTGCTGGTTGCCGCAAAAAAGTATCGCACGCAGTAAATAAAGTTACTTTGGCCAAGAAAAAAAACAATCATATCGATAGTACTACTTCTAATGGCTACGCAAAGGTTTATAGCGTTTTTTTCGTGCTCTGTAGTGCCACCAACATTCGCGAACAGTTGATTTCAACGCGCATGATGTCTATGCGAAGATGCTTGCTCAAAGCCACGTCAATAAATGAACGCGCACACTCGTTTCCACGGTGTGATTATTAGGCACTCTTTAGTGCAGCACTGCTAAATATTTTCGACCACCCTGTCTTCTTCAACATGAACCTAAATGTAACTACACTGGTGTTTTTACATTTCGTCCACATGAAAATGTAGCCACCGTGGACGTAAATCGAAGCCATGACCTCGAACAGCGTCTTCTCTATTTTTCAATGCCAGCGAGGTGGCCCGAACTAGCAGTTCATGAACCTCTCCTCCAGGCATTTCCTGCTCTCGCTCAATGCCTAGCCTTCGCGTGTGCTTTGCGGTCATGGGGTAGAGAACCCACCATGTAGCGCCTCACGACAGAAATCATACAAAGTATTTTTTTGTTCAGCTGTGTACATATACTTGGCACGGAGTTCTGCATTCCTCCTATTTAAAATGTTGGTGGTCACGCTGGCTCTGTAAAAAGTACGGTATTTTGGGATAGCGTGTTGCCACTCATGGCGACATGCGAGCAAACCAATGGGGCAGCGCCACGACAATAGTACTGCATGCGCTAACTTTAAGAGCACTGTGATGCAGTGGTGCCATAGCCTCTAGCCACAAAAAAGGAGCCAGAAGGAACAAATCTGACAAACACGTCCATCGCATTGTCGGAGGAAAGCGCTGAAAAAAAAACGTTTGACGCAAGCAGTGCTAACCTTGATATCACGCCGCATCGCGACCCCTAATCTAAGCCGGACCGATGCGCGATGGCTCTCGTGGAGAAGCGTGAGTTTGCACTGGCATTGAAAGAAATGCAAAGAAATGCAGGAGCCACTGCTCGAGCGCTTCCCAGCGTTCTTTAGTTGAGAATCCGGCTGTGTTCATTTGTCACTGCATTGCACAAGGCATGTCTCTGTTTCACTCATCAGTATCAACAGCCAATCTACATACTTCTATTCGTGGCAGTGCTTTCCTTCCGTATGGCCGCTTATTGACGCTTGCTCATATTGTCACGACATCAAAACAGAGGTCTTGCCGTAGAGACTGAGACACCAGAAGCAGGTCGATCTTTTTAGTTAGAACGCGCAAGCAAGTTCTTCGTCCATTTCGTAGTCCTTCGTGGCACATGCACAACTGTCATCGCCTTTCTTGAGCAAGCACGTGACATTTGCCTCCCTCCGAAAGAAGCATCGTCCCGATGCGCAACTTAGGTGCTCTACCAGGCGTATGAAGTGGTCGTACGAAAACGGTAGCCGGGAGCTAATTAACTTGATATATACGGTGTCATACGCACGACGTGCATGACTTCGGGCAAACGCCTTTGGCGCTTAGAACTACAATTAGTGTCGGGAACGACTTTGTAGTTCACGTCGTTCAAGCGTCGCGTGACGCTGTATGGACCAAAGTACCGTCTTAGCAGTTTCTCAGGCAGTCCACGTCCACGTATCCGAATCCAGACCCACACTTTGTCGCCTGGTAAATAGCTAACAAACTTGTGTCGGATGTCGTAGCGTTGTGCATCTTGATGCTGCTGATGACAGATGCGCACGCGCGCGAGCTGTCTGGCTTCTTCGGCACGCTGAGTGAATTCTTCGGCGTCTACATGGATGTCGTCACACTCATGCGGCAACATGGCATCCAATGTTGTCGTGACTTCGCGACCGTAGATCAGACTGAACAGTGTCATTCCAGTGGTTTCTTGTCGAGCGGTGTTATAAGCAAAGGTCACGTACGGCAATATCTGATCCCAGTTTTTATGTTCCGTGTCAACGTACATGCTGATTATGTCTGTGAGGGTCCTATTGAGGCGCTCCGTCAGTCCGTTTGTCTGCGGATGGTATGCAGTTGTTCTCCGGTGAGCTGTACCGCTGAGTCTGAGAACCGACTCCAAAAGCTCTGCGGTGAAGGCAGGTCCTCTGTCTGTGATCACTGTTGTCGGAGCGCCATGCCGAAGGACGATGTTTTCGATGAAAAACTGAGCGGCTTCTGCTGCAGTGCCACGCTGCATAGCTTTAGTCTCCGCATAACGGGACAGGTAATCAGTGACCACAATAATCCATCTGTTCCCTGTTGTGGAAGTTGGAAAGGGACCCAGAAAATCCATTCCAATCTGGGTGAACGGCTTTTCTGGTGCTTCGACTGGATGTAAAATACCGGCTGGCTTGCTGGGAGGCGCTTTGCGTCTTTGGCAGTCAGTGCAAGTTCACACGTGATGGTTAACAGCAGCAGGTAACTTTGGCCAGTAGTACTTGCATCATAGTCGGCACAATGCTCGGGTGTAGCCTAGATGACCAGAAGTTGCTTCATCATGGCACGCTTCCATAATTTCTTTTCGAAGAGAGGCAGGCACGACGAGCAAGTGCAGGTTACCGGTTGGTGAGAAGTTTTTCTTATAGAGAACATCGTTTCGCAAGCAAAAAGATGGCAGTCCTCTAGCAAATAACTGCGGCACGTCTTTACGTCATCCTTCTAAATATTCAATGAGTGGTAACAGCTCAGGGTCACTGCGCTGCTCTCTTGCAATAGTGGCCGTGTTGACAACTTCCAAGAATGTCGCGTCGATGTTTTCGTCTTCAGGAGCGACAGTTTCCACTGGCGACCGTGAGAGACAGTCGGCGTTGGTGTGCCTCTTCCCAGATTTGTAGACGATGGTCATGTCAAACTCTTGAAGTCTTAGGCTCCAGCGCGCCAAACGACCAGATGGATTTTTAAGGTTGGTGAGCCAGCCCAAAGAGTGATAGTCGCTAACAACCTTGAAGGAGCGGCCGTACAAATACGGACGAAATTTCATGACTGCCCACACCACGGCGAGACACTCCTTCTCGGTGGTCGAGTAGTTCTCCTCCGTGCGAGAGAGAGTTCTGCTGGCGTAGGCTATTATTCTTTCACAGCCGTCTTGCCACTGCACCAGAACGGCACCTAGGCCTACATTGCTGGCGTCAGTGTGAAGTACTGTAGAGGCGTCCTGGTCGAAGTGCGCAAGGACTGGAGGTGTTTGCAAGCATTGTCGCAGTTCATTGAATGCCATTTGCTCCTGTTCACCCCAAAAGAAGGGGACGTCCTCACGTGTGAGTCGTGTCAATGGCGCCGCAATAGACGAAAAGTCCTCGATAAATCGCCGGTAATAGGAGCACAACCCTAAGAAGCGTCTCAAAGCATTTTTGTCACGGGGAGCAGGAAATTGCGCTACGGCGTCTATTTTGGCCGGGTCAGGTCGAACACCCTCGTGACTGACGACGTGGCCTAGAAAGCTGAGTTCGTTGAAAGCAAAATGACATTTTTCTGGTTTTAAAGTCAGGCCGGCCGAGCGTATGGCTTGGAGTACGGTGGATAGACGGCTGAGATGTTCCTCGAATGATGCTGAGAATACAACAACATCGTCCAGATAGACCAAGCATGTTTGCCACTTTAGACCCGTTAGTACAGTGTCCATGAGACGCTGAAAAGTGGCTGGCGCTGAGCACAACCCAAAAGGAAGCACGTTAAATTCGTAAAGGCCATCAGGCGTCACAAAGGCCATTTTTTCACGATCGTTCTCGTTGACTTCTATTTGCCGGTAGCCGCTTCAGAGGTCAATTGAAAAGGAATAGCGCGCATGACGCAGCCGATCGAGTGAATCGTCTATGCGAGTCAGTGGATAGACGTCTTTTTTTGTGACTTGGTTCAACTTGCGATAATCGATACAGAAACGCAAGCTGCCGTCTTTTTTCTTGACCAAAACCACGGGGGACGCCCAAGGACTTTTCGAAGGTTGTATGACGTCATCCTCGAGCATCTTCTGTACGTGCTTGTGAATCTCCTCGCGTTTTTTCGGAGCAACACGGTAGGGGTCCTGCCGAATCGGTCGCGTGTTGTCTTCAGTAATGATGCGGTGCTTGGTCAATGGGGTCCACTGGACCTTTGATGTACGCGAAAAGCAGTCTTCGAATGGGTGTATAAGTCCAAGCAGACGCTTCCTATCAGAGGGTGGTAGCGTGGAGCAGATGTCCACCGACAAAGTTGTCGAGGCAGGGACTGTCGCGCCATCTGGTTGCAAAGCACAGCAATCCCCGGCTTGGTCTATATCATCGAAGTAGGCAATTGCGGTACCCTTCTGGATTTGACGACGCTCGTTGCTGAAGTTTGTAAGGAGCGTTTCTGCCTGTCCACCAGTAAGCGTTAAGATGCCTCTCGCGATGGAAATGCCTTGCGTGAGCAAAAGAGCGACTATGTGCTCCATTATCACATCCTTATAGGAAGGCCACCCACTGGACACAGACACAAGGCAGCAGGATCTTGGTGGGAGCGTCACATCGTCGGCTATTCTCAAACTGCCGCGTAGTTCATCGCTGCTGTCGTCGACATACGGATGTGCGCAAAACGTCACCATATGTTGAGGGATGTTGATAACAGCGCCATGATCTCGAAGAAAATCTATGCCCAAAATTAGCTCTTTACAACAGTCTGGCAACAGGACGAAAGTGGCCACGAAGCTAGAATCCCCAATGCGAAGTCGAGCTGTGCATTTACCCGTGGGAATCATCAGCTGACCACCAGCACTCCTTATGTGGCCCTGTCCACGGTGTCTTGACCTTTCTAAGGTGGTCGGCGAGTTCTTGTCGCATGATTGAGAAGTCGGCGCCAGTGTCGACCAGTGCTGTAACGTAATGTCCGTCAATGAAAACGCCAAGATCAGCACGTACAACTTCACCGGCATTAGTATTCGTCGTCGTATTCGTCGTCGTATTCGTCATCGTATTCGTCGTGGTTGTCGTAATATCTTCTTGCGATGATAGGGGGAACTTTTTCGGTGTCTCGAAGATTGGCAACTTTTGCCCCTGGAGGTCGCAGCAGTTAGTTTCCCCGGCGCGGGCTAGGCGAACGGCCTCTGGTGACGTCCGCGTAGCTCTGAGGGAAGTCACGGTGATGCGCAGGAAATGGAGATTGCCAGCGACACGGTGTAGTTGTTTGGCCAGTCGACAGTTGATCGGCATCGTGGGCACGACGGTCTTCAGAGCGGAAAGTAGCGGGACGAGAAAAGTTCCCGAAGCCGGAATCACTATGACGGCAATAGCGAGCAATGTGACCTGGTTCTCCGCAGCGGAAGCAAATAGGTCGACGGTCGGCCATGCGCCACAAGTCAGTTCGGCGATCTGGTGGTCGTCTCATGAAATCACGTTGCCACCAAGGTACGGCCGCGGGTCGTGGCTGGAAGGGTGTCGCCACAAATGACGGTGGAGGACGACGGACCACATCAGCGTAGCTCGCTGAATGTGGCTCAGGACTTGGCGCCGGTGGTGTAACGACTTGCCTCAACTCCTGGCGGACGATTTCGGCAACAGATGCGACGGGCGGTTGGGTAGGAGGGACGCAGGGCCCGAATTTCCTCACGCAGTATTTCCCTAATCATTTGTCGCAGGGAACTTTCACACACGGCAGTGTTCTGAGCTGCCGCACTTACTGCTGTGTGGTTCGGCAGGTTGTCAAAGTGTCGGTATCGTTGTCGCAGTGCGCGCTCGATGACAGTCGCCTCTCTTATGAATTCATCTACTGTTGTAGGTGGATTTCATACGAGGCCCGCAAACACTGGTGCTTTGACACCCTGCATTAGGTGACGCACCTTTTTCGCCTCGAGCATGTCAGGGCCAGCTCGTCGAAACAGACGAATCATACCCTCTGCGTACATGGTGGCTGTTTCGTTGGGTTTTTGTCCGCGAGCTTCAATCAGTTGCTGTGCGCGATCCCGTCTGTTCGTGTTCAAAAATGTGGCGAGGAGCTTTCGACGGAAATCTCCCCAAGATTGGAAAGTAGCCTCCTGGTTCTCGTACCACGTGCGAGCGCCATCTTCCAGGGCGAAATATGCACGGTCAAGTTTGTGCTGTTCGGTCCAGTGGTTAGATACAGCGACCCGTTTGAACTGTTCGAGCCAGTCTTCGACATCCTCGTACTCTTCCTCATGAAAAGCTTCAGGAACGCGAGGATGTTCGAGAGTCACCTGCAAGGGAAAAGTGGTCTGCGATGGAAGGGTAGCCGTGGATGTGGTAGGAGCTGCCATGCTGGTTAGAGGCGGAACAGGTGCGGACTCCGGACTTAGGCCTAGTAGGCGCGACTTAATCGGTGCACCGGAGTTGTGACGAGGGGCTGGGTCTCTGGACTAGGTGAACGGGTCCGAGCAAGACTGTCCTGCATCCGGTTGTAGGCCCCAGCACGTCCACCAGTGTCACGACGTCAAAACAGAGGTCTTGTCGTAGAGACTGAGACACCAAAAGCAGGTCGATCTTTTTAATTAGAACGCGCAAGCAAGTTCTTCTTCGTCCATTTCGTAGTCCTTCGTGGCAAATGCACAACTGTCATCGTCTTTCTTGAGCAAGCACGTGACAATATTCCTTCTCTGATGCGATAGAAACAGTGCCGTCATTAAGGGTACTTTTCACATGAATTGATTGATTGATATGTGGGGTTTAACGTCCCAAAACCACCATTTGATTATGAGAGACGCCGTAGTGGAGGGCTCCGGAGACTTCGATCGCCTGGGGTCCTTTAACGTGCGCCTAAATCTGAGCACACGGGCCTACAACATTTCCGCCTCCATCAGAAATGCAGCCGCCACAGCCGGGATTTGATCCCGCAACCAGCGGGTCAGTAGCCGAGTACCTTAGCCAGTAAACCACCGCGGCGGGGCCCACATGAATAGTTTATGCGTTGTTTGGTGCGCCAGTTTCAATATCGCCTTCTAAATTAGCTCGATTTAATCAGCTCACGGTGATTACCAGTGGCTACCTCTTAGAAATTTCAGAGTGGCTATAGAATATTAGCAGCAACAACTTCTATTCGCTCATTTAGCTCAGCCGCCTATTTCCACTGAATGAAAAGGTTATTGTGTTTATATTTTATTTATGCTATATTTATATTTCGTAAGCATCTGAAAACGCGCTCCGCCACAGTACAGGAAACGTCCGAGGTCGTGCGCAGATACCTCTTTCATGTGATTTCCCCGCCACGTTGGTTTAGTGGCTAAGGTACTAGGCTGCGGACCCGCAGGTCACAGGGTCGAATCCCGGCTGCGGCGGCTGCATTTGCTATGGAGGCGGAAATGTTGTAGGCCCGTGTGCTGAGATTTAAGTGCACATTAAATAACCCCAGGGGGTAAACTTTCCGGAGCCCTCCACTACGGCATCTCTCATATTATAATGGTGGTTTGTGGGCATTAAACCCCACATATTAATCATCAAACTCCTTTCATTTTTTCTTCACATACGCAATTATAGGTTTCGGTTGAACAATGTTGCGGTTGATATATATGTATTTATTAAATGCGCTGTTCATAAGGATCAGTTTAGATAGATAGCAGATATTCTTCGAAGTGTGTCTTCATGGGCCTTCATGGGACTCAAACTGGGGTCTTACATTACGCAATGTTTTCTATGCGTGAGCCTCACGTGTAAGTTCGTTAGCTGCTCTAGTGGTACAGTTGCAGTGAATTGCACATTTGTTATTGTCAGAGAGAAGAGGACGAGCGGGTACTCAACATTAACGATGCGCCCCAGTTGCCGGCGCTGAGCCGAGCGGCCTCCTCGAAGAGTGACAGGCCAACCAGGGCGATACAGGGTGCGATACCCAGCGGGGTCACCCATCGGAGCAGAAAACCCACAATGCCCGTGAAGCCCAGTAGAACCTCGAACGCCGCCGACGCAATGATGGCACCGGAGATCTGCACCAAATGAACGTAGCTCCTGAGCAACAGCGTGAATGGACGTTGAACGATCAAAATCAGACGCGTACCAGTGTTTGCACGTTTCGCACGACTACGCATTCTTGAATGAAATGTGTAAATGAAGAAAATAAGGGTGAAGGTGAAAACATGCCTAGTCATGGAGATGAATAATAGGCCTGAAGAAGGAAAAGGGACAAAAAATCGCATGTCCAATATTGAGAAATCCAAGCTTATATTTCTTAGTACTGTACTAAGAAAGCAAAGAACACTAAAATTTGTATCCAATGCATTTATTACTGCACAGTTTATTATTCTAGTGGCTACAAGCATTGCAGCGTCGTAAGAAAGTATACTGCCATGCAGTGGGCTTTTTCTTTTATGAGTGTAAACGTATATCATGCATAACGGGGCATGCCTGGGAGTGGCGCACCTCCCGAAGCATGTACATACCATGCGGTGATTGATACAGCACCTGCGTGTCCAGCTTCCACTTCATAAAATTGGGTAGCCCCATTGAATAGCCATCGCTCAAGCTATACATGGGAAGATAAATGCGTACAAACCAAACAGGCACTTCACTCGGGCCACTGCTCAACATGTCACATGTTTCAAGTTAGTGTGCAATGCTTATTGAAAGCACATCTGCGAAGCTTATACTGCGCCAAAATTCTTCCTTTTGTGAATTGATGAAGTACCAACTTTACGCGAATGTAATGCAACACACGAACCTTCGCAGGTCCACTCTTTGTTGATATTGTTTCTGATAATGATAATCAAGTATGGCTCGGAACTTTGTAAATGGTGAGGCTTTCAACAAATTACTTGTACAAGTGATTCGCACGTTTCGACGTTGGGATATAATCTCGATTCTACGCTTATGTCATGCAATATTACATGAGTTAGGACACTGCTCACACTGCATGACATTTGTTTGTTTGTTTATTTGCCAAACGTTTCAAGCATGAACATGGCTTAGTGGTAAAACACCTTGACACGTAGAAGTTCTGCGTTCGATTACAGATCATATACAGATTTTCGAATTTTCGCTCACGTACCTTGCTGATTTTCTGCTCATGGCCGATTACGTCGATTCCGAGACTTGAATTCTAGCCAAACAAGCTCTTTAGCACTATTACGTTAACAGTGGATTTTAATTGCGTCTAATGCCATTGCAAACCAAAGCTTAGAAACCAACGGGTTAAATTATCTTTTACTTGTTGTCGGTGTTTGTCTTCTTTGTTCATCATTTATCCAAACCCACCGACCCCCACGATGATATTTCAATGTACTATCTCTAATGCCACAATTACTGTGGTCCTTGCTATAGTGACAATAGACAGGTGACTTAGAGCGAGGTTGCCTATCTCGAACATTGAATGCTTTCGGTGATAACGAGGCCGAAGTGCAGCCCTGTCTCTTTGTTACTCCAAAATGCGGTGAAGTTGATGTCGAATTTTGTGTGATCAAGTAACTTTCGAAAAGAACTGAAAGTCCCACTGGTTAGTTTTTCAACACGTGTTTTGTGCCGGGGTCCACCACGACTCCGCTGGCGTGCTTTCATCACTGAAGTGACGTTGAAAAATATATAGTAAAAGATATTGCATAGAAAAATACCATAATGCATGTATTAGTCGCGCGTAATTGAACCAGCATCCTCTCGATTCTCAGCGAGCGAAGGTAACTACTACGCCACAAAGCGTGCGTTGTTAGGAATGCTAACGGCAAACCAATTAGATGCATTATACACCGTTTGGCTGTCCTTGGAGCTTCAAGATTTTAGCGCGTTTTCACTATTAGAGTGAGATGGCGAGACGGGCTCGCGTTGGGCGCGCTCTATAAGTCATGGTGTCCACGAAGCACCACCTCCAAGGAGCGTGGTCTCAACTGCGCACGCGCTTATCAGACTCGTAATTCGGGAGAAAACGAAGGTCACTTCGCACACTACCGCGGCCGCATTTACGAAAGGAGCACGCTACTGACACATGACATTTGAAGAAGTGTGGCAGATGTTCGAGCTTGTACTGTGAGGACTTGTGCGCTCGTTTTGTGAGTCTTTCTTTTTGTTTAACACCGGGCGTTAAGTGTCACGCTGTGACAGTTGTTAGTCGGTGCTCGTACTGTGTCTGCTAATATCGTGCTTTCATTCTGCTTCACTTGTGTGCTGCAAGTTTCAACCTGCTTGCCATTCTTAACGTAAATTTACAAAGTGTTGCTACTGCTGAAACATTGCACAATAAACGCCGAACTACTTCTGTAAAAACGCGTTTCACTTTCGTGTTATACCGATTCCTGTATAGGGCGATCAGCCACGTCTATGTTAATGAATACGCCTTTTGTCAACTACTTCATTTATGCCTTCTTTCCTCATCAATACGTCTGTGTTAACTGGCAAATCAGTCGTCTCGCTTACAGATAGCGGCATCGCTCTATCATTTTTTTTGTTTCACCAATTAAATAGCGAGTGCAATTTTCTATATGTGAAGTTTCAAAAGTAAAAAAAAAACTGCGGGACCCTTAGGTGTCACATTTAAGACTTGAACGGATAGCTATATCCTGTTTCTTGAGTGTATACTGAGTTCCAAACGGCTTACTTCAGTGAAGGTTTCGTATGAGGCTGCATACTGTGTAATGGGTAGCACGCTTTAAGCCACTGCCAATTGTGAGGGTGAAATATTTTCGAACTTGCTGTATGGCTACTATTTGTCCTTAAGGGCGAATTCGCAGTACTGTGTGTGCCTTCGGCAGGGGGTGAGGTGCTTTAAACCACGAAGTCATATTGCCACCTCTTTCTAGTAGTGGGTCGTATGCCAAGGTGAAGGCCCACACCACAGAGAAGAAAGAAGTGCACGTGGGCCCTCGCTCTGGCAAACAAGCCCAACCGACGCGCTTGGTTAGAGCCCTGTTGCTCAGACGTCAGTAAATCTTGTCGACACCCCCTGGAGTGACGTGACAACTGGTGGAGGTGCGGGGTAGGCCCCTCACGGATGTTGCAGACTCCTCCTGGAAGCGGCACCACAAGCCCAGTTCGAGTCAACACTCTCGTTCATCGGACAAGCCGCAGGATCAGGGGATTGCCTCCCGAAGCTGACCCTATAGTTCACACCAGTATGATGAGCACGTCCGTTCAAACCACTCTAACAGGTACGGAAAACCCCCCGGTGACTCGGTACACCCTCGAAAGTCCGCAGGTTCCGACACCGTTTCATGGCACCGAGCTCGAAGACGTCGAGGACTGGTTGGTCGACTTCGAGCGCGTGGCTGCTTTGAACGACTGGAACGACGCGGCCAAACTACGACGTGTGTACTTCTATTTAGAGGATGGAGCACGTACCTGGTACATGAATCACGAGGAACAGATGACATCGTGGCCCGAATTCCGCCGCCGGCTCTTGGATACTTACAGAAGTGCTGATCGCCACGAACAAGCGGAACGAGCGATCCAGGCCCGCATCCAGATGCCCAATGAAACTGTCATGACCTATGTGGAAGATATGACGCGCCTGTTCCGACGAGCCGATCAGAGTATGACAGAAGAAAAGAAGGTGCGTCACCTGATGCGGGGAGTTAAAGAGCAGCTTTTCGCTGGTCTTGTACGGAGCCCTCCGAACACGGTCGCCGAGTTTTTGTCTGAAGCTGTCACGATGGAAAAGATGCTTCAGCATCGATCCACCCTGTATGAGCGGCAAGTGAACACGTCCACTGCTCAAGTTCTAACGAATATTGGGAGCAACACCGAGTGTCTGCGCGACCTTATCCGCTCCATAGTACGCGAGGAGCTGCAAAAGGCTGCCACACCACCACTACCTACGGTGAGTTCCATTGCAAGCATCGTCAAGGACGAGCTGCATCATGCCCTTCGTGACCCTGTGAGTCTGAATAACGCCACACCCGCCCCGGCTGACTACCACCGTCCGACCTATGCAGAAGCCTTGAAACGCCCAGCTTCCTCTTCCCCGCTGTTTGTTCAGGCACCTCCTACGGTTTCACTTCAGTCGGCGCAGCCTCTACGGTACTACGAGAACACACGCACACCGCCACCCCTCGTTTACGCCAGCCCTGTGCATCTTGCGGAACAACCAGCACACTACCTTGACGACAGACGTGCTTCGCCTCGGAAATCTGATGTTTGGCGCACTCCTGATCGCCGACCTTTGTGCTTCCACTGCGGTGAAGCGGACCATTTGTACCGCCAGTGTCCATACCGGCGCCTCGGGCTGCGCGGATTTTCAGTATATTCAGCGCCTCCTCGGTATGGCCAGCGACCCAGGGACATTGAGGACTACCTGGCTCAACAGCGCATGCCGCCGCCTTCTGGACGGCAGTCGCGCTCACCGTCGCCGAGGCGCTTTTCATCTTCGCCACAGCGCCATGCTGGCGCACAGTTCTCCAGTCCCCGCCGGGAAAACTAACGCAAGCGACCCTTGGAGGCGAGGTCGCTGGCAGTCGACGTGCTGAAGACCTCCGATCGACGCTAACAGTAAAGGGTGTAGATTCGACTGAGCGATATGTGCGGCTTTCTCTGGATATACGGTGCTGATAGATGGCTATGCAGTAGGTGCTTTAGTTGATACCGGGGCTGACTATTCAATACTAAGCGGGAAAATGACCAGACAACTAAAGAAGGTAATCACGCCTTGGCATGGCTCCGTGATTCGAACGGCTGGTGGCCACACCGTCTCTCCGCTTGGAACCTGCATGAGTAGAGTTCGGGTCTGCGGTTATACTTTTGTAGGAAGTTTCCTTGTGCTCCGTGAATGTTCACGTGACGTTATTCTTGGTGTTGACTTCCTGCACGAATATGGAGCTGTCATTGATCTTCAAGAGAATCGCATCACCTTCTCAGCCGACCGAGCAATCGACAAGCAGGACGACCAATAACGTACCGACGTTCTTCGTGTTTCTGCTGAAAGTATAACGCTTCCTCCAAGAGCCAGTGTTATTGTCGACGTCACATGCTGTGGATTGCGAAATGGTGAAGCGATTGCAGAAAGTAATTT